TTACCATGACCTAAATCTACGTTTTATATCAGCGAAGTTTATAGTATGAGAGGATGCGATTACACCCTTAGTCTGATGTTTAAATCGTTTTTCGTCAACTCCAAATGTTCTTATTCTGCTTGTTCATTCTCTATGTGTGTTAGTGTTTTTGTGACCTGGTTGTGTGTGTGTGTGATGTTTGTGTGTGTGTGTGTGTTTGTGTTTGTGTGTGTGTGTGTGTTTGTGTTTGTGTGTGTGTGTGTGTTTGTGTTTGTGTTTGTGTGTTTGTGTGTGTGTGTGTGTGTGTGTGTGATGTGTGTGTGTGTGTGTGTGTGTGTGTGTGTGTGTGATGTGTGTGTGTGTGTGTGTGTGTGTGTTGTGTGTGTGTTTGTGTTGATGTATGAATGTGTGTGTGATGTATGAATGTGTGTGTGATGTGTGTATGTGTGTATGTGTGTGTGTGTGTGTGTGTGTTTGTGTTTGTGTGTGTGTGTGTGTGTGTGTGTGTGTGTGTGTGTGTGTATGTTTGTGTGTGTGTATGTGTGTGTGTGTGTGTGTTTGTGTGTGTGTGTGTGCATGTGTATGTAAGCATGCTTGTGTATGGATGTATGTCCTGGTTTGAGTGTGTCTGCATGTGTATGTATGTATACCCTGGTTTGCGCGTGTCCATGTGTATGTATGTATGTATGCTTGTGTGTGTTTGTATGCCCTGGCTTGTGTGTGCATGTGTATGCAGTTATGCTTTTGTGTCAAAATGCCTGTTTACATATTTATTTATGTATCCCTGTTTGTGTGTGTATGTGTGTGACAATATGCATGTATTTGCCAGTATGCATGTATATGTTTGTATGTTTGTGCATGTATCAGTACGATTGGATTGAAGTCAGTATGTGGTACATATACGTCTCAATCCTTCCCTCATGTGCCACTCCTTATCAGACATACCCTTTCCTCCATCCCACCGCCGCATAAGAAGGCTCAAACACGCACACACACACACACCGAAACATCCTCAAAGCACACACACACACACACACACACACACACACACACACATGGGCCTGCAGTACCCTTCCATACTCTGGGTTTTTTCTAGGATGTGAGCCAAGTCCTGTGGGTTTCCGGTGGGCTTCCTAATCATCCTGCGGTTTCCTTCGGTCGTCTCAACTGTTGGCTAGCTGTTTACTCCCTGTATGCTTAAAATTTTGATTATTGATAACGTATCTCTCGCGGCAACAGCTTGTCTTTTTTATTTTTTTTTTTTTTTTTTTTTTTTTTTTTTTTTTTTTTTTTTTACAAGCGTATTGATATCACTGCTCGGTAAGATACATGTATATGGTCTATATTATTACATGCATGTAAATGTACGATCTGTATTGTACATGCATATTTCTTCTATGTAAAGTTGTATGTACGATCTGTATTGTATGTAATGGCGATGCATATTTCTTCTACTCCAATATATAATTTCAAGTCGCAATGTACATATACAGATGTACATATACAGTATAAACAAACATATATCTATGGGCATGTATAATGAACATACAACCACATCAAATATACAATATATGCTATATAAATTCTCTACATATAGGTACATGTTCATATTATGCATATATAGTTATAAAATACGTACATATATTCATTCCAAGTCCCATTACTAATCTCAGTTTCAAATTGTTGACATTAGTTTATTCATCAAAGTTAATAAGATCAAATTAGTGACTCCCCCCCCCTCCCCGCTATTATAAATGATAGCGTCTTCGTGTGAATTAGTTAGCAGTAATACCCCATTTAAGTAAAATTTAGTCACATAATAATAATTTCTCGTTTTTTCTGTCTTCCTCTTTGAACCATAAAGATTTTTTGATCTGCTGGATTACATATCTGTCCATCTTGTTACTTCGATCAATAAAACCAGATTTCGAGGGAGAGAAGAAGAGAGAGAGAGAGAGAGAGAGAGAGAGAGAGAGAGAGAGAGAGAGAGAGAGAGAGAGAGAGAGAGAGAGAAGAGAGAGAGAGAGAGATCATCTTTATAAAAACTCGACCTGGGTCCACATCCCTCTTTTTATTTTGTTTGGACATTAACTTCTTTATAAAAACTTTATTTTCCAAAATTTTAGTAAATGTGAAAGGCACAACATGAAAACCGAAGTCCATTTTCTCGCTTTTATACCAAAGTAATATTTTTTTTCCACGGAATTTATAGACACAACATATAGATTCAAAGAAATAAAAACATCACGTTCACACCTTTTCTCGCATGTACCTCCCTTCCCTCCTTCTCTCCATTCCCCGTCACATACCGGAGGCTGGGGAGATGGGAGAAAGTAGGAGAAAGCGGAGAATAGGAGAAACAGCAGGAATAGTGGAACAGTAAAAAAGAAAATAGTATAAAATAGGGAAATAACCTCAGAAATCGGATAAGGATAAGGATAAGTCCGATAAGCGAGCCCATAGCCCGGCCGAGGCTCAGCTTCGCATATCGGACTTATCCTTATCCTTATCGGAAATCGACCACTTTCTTTTAGCGAGATGAAACGCTCACACACCTTCCGGAAGCGGGACCCTGGCGCTCCTGGAGGCGATAGACCGGACAATCAACGTCCTCATAACTCGGTAAGCTTCCCTTTAAATTAATTTGGTCTGTCATGTTTATTTTTCATACGTATTGTTCCCTGTTCGGTAAGATTCATGTAAATTGGTCTATATTAATAAAGGTTGTATACTTTTTGTTCGGTAAGATGCATGTAAAATTGTCTATATTAATAAAGGTTGTATGTACTTGTTGTTGTCACTGTTCGGTCATGTAAAATTGTCTATATTGATAAAGGTTGTATGTACTTGTTGTTGCCACTGTTCGGTAAGATTCATGTAAATTGTCTATATTAATAAGTTGTATGTACTTATTGTTACCACTGATACACGTAAATTGTCTATATTAATAAAGTTGTATGTACTTATTGTTCGTTACACGTAAATTGTCTATATTAATAAAGTTGTATTACTATTGTTGCCACTGTTCGGTAAGATACACGTAAATTGTCTATATTAATAAAGTTGTATTCTTATTGTTGCCTCTGTTCGGTAAGATACACGTAAATTGTCTATATTAATAGAGTTGTATGGACGATCTGTAATAATATGTATGGATACACGGATATGTTTCGAATTTGTATTTCTTCCTCTTTCAGCCAGTACGTCTGTCTCCTCCGTCATCAGATTCCTCATCGTCGGAGGACAGTGAAGAAGAGAGGCTCATACGTCGTCGTCGGTAAGATGCATTTATATATTGTCTGTCTTGATGTATGCATGTAAAGTTGTATGTACGATCTGTATTGTATTTATTGGATACCTGTACAGCTTTGGAGATTTTTGTACTAATTTTCCGCTGTATTGATCTAGAAGTACGTGTAGATCTCTCGATTTCTGTACCATTTCACCTGCATTAATCTAGGGGTACATGCATATCTTTATCGATTATTGTCTTCCTCTTCCATTCTTCGTTATATGCATGCTTAAATGTATCTTATTATAGATTATTAAGTGTATCTTTATATTATTAATTTCTTTCTCCTTCAGACGACGACGAGGACTGCCATCGTCGTCTTCAGATTTCTCAACTGATGACAGTTCAGAGGGCTACAGGAGCGGCAGCGGCGACTCGGATTCGGAGGTAGACTACGTGTCACTGATGAACGCGACTCCTGATTCCGAGGAGCCATTTCCTGCTGGCGGAGAGGGCGAATGGCAACGCGACGACGCCCCTGGGACTGATAGGTTCGTGTGGCAGAAGCGGGACAATGTTCCGCGGCGCTGGGAGTTCAAGGGCGCTCCAGGGGTCAAAGGTCATAACCTGACCGCCACTTCCTCGCCCGTGGACATCTATCGCTGCTTCATCACAGACGAATTTATCGACCTCATCGTCCGGGGAACAAATCAGTAAGCATATTTCTTTTTGTCTGCTTATGTTGGTTCAAACCTGCTTAATATTGTCCGAATACCAGTGTTTACCTTTCATTTTGAAGCACCAGTGTATACCTTTCATTTCTAAACTAGTGTTAACATGATGGTGTTAAGCAAGTATATACCTTTATTTTTTTAAAAGGCAACAATGTATGCCTTTCATTTTTAAAGCAACAGTACATACCCTTCACGTGTTAAGCAACAGTGTACACCTTTTGTTTCTTAAGCAACAGTGTATACCTTTTGTTTCTTAAGACAGTGTATACCTTTTGTTTCTTTTTAAGCAGTGTTTCTTAAGCAACAGTATACCTTTTGTTTCTTAAGCATCAGCGTATACCTTTTAGTTTTAAGCAAATGTTTATCTTGCATTCTGTTTTCAGGTACAGTCAGCAATACCCAGACGACTGGGTTGACACTACGGCGGCGGAAGTCAACGCTGTATTCGCATTGTTCTTCCTGATGGCCTTGCAGTCGACGCCCAGGGATAAGGACTTTTGGTCGCGCGATCCCCTCGAAAGTCGACACGTGTTTGCACAGACGATGTCGGTGGATAGATTCGAGTCACTGTGCAGTCGCCTACAGGTGGCGAGTGAGGATAGGACGGGACCTGTCGCTGACCGCCTGAGGAAACTTCAGCCAGTTGTCGACCTGTTGACTGGGCAGTTCTCGTCGGTCTTCACTCCTCCTGAGAGGGTGTCGGTCAATGACAGTCTATTGGAGTTCTGGGGGCGCTGGCAACCCACCGATGAGTGCGCGCACTCTAAGGTTAAAATTTACAAGCTCGCGGTCAGTGATGGTAAGTTGTACTACGTGGCATGTGGTCCCTTGATTTTGTGTCTACAGGTATACTATTTACAATATGATAGGATGATTCCAGGATTCTAAAACTCATTTAGTTAAATGAATTTCAATTGTTTTTTCTATCAACAATTAAATTAACAATATTTTCATTCAGGTCCGACTTCAGGCTATGTAAGCGCCTTCCAGATCTCCAAGGGAGAGAGCAAAGGGGACATCCCTACGCCCTCCAAGGTCGCTATCGATTTAATAGGCGCCGCGGGCCTGTTTGGAAAGGGGTACGAGGTGCACACCGGTGACAGATACACCTCTCCAGGCTTCTTCCACTACCTGCAGAGTCAGCATGTCAATGCGGTTGGCATGGTTCGTGTCAACCGCAGGTATATGCCAGAAGACCTGCAGGTGAGGGCCCGTGGTGATGTGGACAGTCGCAGCACGGGGACGGGCATGTTGTGCCTTCAATGGCACGACCAGAGGCCCGTCACAATGCTCTCGACTGTTCACGATAGCGACATGGTCACGGTTTCGGGCCGGAGTCTGAAGCCTAAAGTCGTTGCCGACTTCATCGGGATGAAGAGAGTAGCTTTGAGTAAACTGGCTAAAGCAGACCTGACATCTGACGAGTCCGTCAATTTGACTGCTCAAATACTGTACAAATTGGTTGATATGGCGGTTGAGAACGCCTATTTAGTGCACAGAACACTTGGAGGAACATTAGCTCGTCGGGCCTTCAGGAAGGAGATCGTTCGCGAGCTTCTACGAGATTTCCACCGGTGGAAAGATGCCGTCCGTGATCCAGGCCCGGAGGAAGACCGTTTCCAGGGAGGTCACCATGTCCACTTCCTGGTTCCTGTGCCTTCCGGCCGTTACCGACGGTGTAAAGTGTGTCATGCGCGCGGTGCACGCAAAGAAACTCGCAGCATGTGTGAACATTGTCATGTGGCCTTGTGCCCATATGAATGCTTCCAGGTCTACCACACAGTTAAAAATTATGCGTAATGTTTATATACATAGAACAGAAAAATACTTGGTTTATCCGTCTTTAGCTCGGTGTTACATTTAATAAACAGAAAGTTCAATAAGCTTGTTGTAGTTTTAATAGAGTTGTTTTTGATTGAACATTACAAAAAAAGCAGTGTCTTCTCAACGAAAACTGTTTAATAGTATCATTAGCACAACAAATGACAAATATAGTCACTAAGTAACTAAAAGGATTTTGCATATAGCTTATGTTGTTTGTATCTCACTGTGTTTGTATTTGGGCAGATATGAAGGTCTAAACAAAAAGAGTATATTAGCTTTTACTACAGATTATTATTCAAAAACTGATTATGAAAACATAGAAATATGAAAATAAAACACATTATTACATGTATTACACAGATAATATGGAGTCTGCACAATGGAAGCAGCCCACTACCAGCATGATACAGCATAACAAATCACATACATAGCTCTTGTAAAATGACTATTCAGTGCCAGCCAAAAAAGGGGGTAACATGAAAGCAAGGATGTCCAATTCCCACACCCGGGAGTGTCACCACTCAAGTAGATTACTAGGCTTGCTTGAATGGCCCGGATTTTGGTCCACACGCCTAGTTGCCCAAATGGGGACAACAAGGAGAAGGCTGTCAAAGTCCTGTGGCTAAAGGTGGTTGAAGAACGGTCTCCCTGGCTGCTTACATGTGGACACCTGCACCCAGGAGAACTTGACGAAGCATTTATGTCCCGAATATTTCCTCCCTAAAAGTTGCCAACAATCTAGCTCAGCTGCCAACAAAGTCATGGAGACTGAACATCCAGATCCTCCAGGTAACACTCATTAGGGATATTAACAACAGGTCACTAAAGCAGTAATGACGCAATCAAAATGGCCCTAGTACAACAAGTCAACATCGCTGCTGTTTCTACCATTGTATTGCGAGCTCTCCACTTTCTATCTTGTTGGGGATATGTCTTCCTCATGAAGGCAAACTTTGTCTGTTGGGGTAAAGGAAATGGAATTAGCTCAGACACAAATTCTTTCAAACTGAAAAATACAAATTCTTAAAAAAAAAAAGTTTATAACAGAATTCAGTTTCAAAAAATCCCAACAGTATCAATATTTTTAAAGATACAAAATGATCTAAATACACCAGCCTAATAATATGTATCAGTTCATTTAAAGATATATATTTATTTTGAGGATTATCTACTTCAAGATCATACATCCATGCATGCATACATACATGTGAGTATGCACACATGAACACATTGAAAAAACAACAACACTTTTTCAAAGAAAAAAGAGATAGAACCACTACATGAGAAAATGAAATGCACTTACAGATAAATATGTGGTTCCTGATCAGCAATCCTTCCATGGCCTCAGATATATAGTTGAACTCCAAGAGAATCACTGGCATACATTCCAACTGTTAGAGAGAAAACAAGAAAACATAAGGCCATTCCCTGTACTGGAGGAGCTTTCAAAATGTAAGTTAAATAAAATTATCCTAAAGAACACCATTTTCTCTAGGGGGGGTCTATTTCTGAGAGGGAGAGGAACCCGAGTCCTTGAAAGCACCAAGCCAAAAGCCAAGGAGATAGATCCTGAAAATGTGTTTTGTATATAAAACATAGATATCGTCTTCATCTTCAGTTCTGTCTCCTTTAATAAACGGATCAGTTGCATACATCTACATGCAGAGAAGAATTAGAAGAGTCAAAATTAATGGTTCATTCTTCAAAATCAAACTGTTTTGAGAGGAAATTCTGCTGGTGTGATCAATAAAATGCAAAAATGATATTCATGAACATTATTTTGTATATCTGGTTGTTAGTAGCATTTAAGCCATTCGTATAAAAATTGATGTGTATATCGTGTAAAGCTGGCTGTAGCATTTGTAAGAAGACCTCTAACTGATAAATAAGAACAGAAAGCTAAACAATCCTGAAGAATTTTTTAAAAAGTGCTTCAGCTAAAAGAGCTAACTATCTTTTCACTAACCATTAAAAATGTAAACAAGTAAAAAAAAAAAAAAAAAAATTACTTCATTGTTTAAGATGAATGATCAATCCAAAAGGGCTAAAAGCACCGCTTATAAAAATCAAAATATAATTATAAAATTCCTTATGACAAAAGCAAACTGCAAACTGCAAAATAGTACTGAAAAAACATAAATAATTACCAAAGACATTCCAGCACAGACTGATGGAAATTTGTATATAAAAGATTTGATTTGTAAGAAATATCAAACCGGGTATCTCACTACATCAAAGACAAGTGATTTCAAAAGCAGCAATTCCTTATTAAGCACTCGGAAATTATTTCGCTATCCAAATATTGACGAGATCCTGAACTACTGGGGGTAAAAGACACAACCAAAGATACTTACAATGTATTGTAACTTTGCATGACTTTCCATCCCATTTTACAGAACTAATGGTATAACTATTTTAAATGAGCCAAATAAGAAGTATAAAAAAATAAAAAAAAAAAATGTACAAAAAGGATACCAAGGTATTTTATGCTATGAAATTAGCTTACCCAAGAAAAAGGAGAAAAATGATAATGTACAGTTGAATTTTTTCAAGTCAGCAGCACTGAGACATTCTTTGTTTTTTATCAAACACATACAAATTTCATCTATTAATGATATACCAAACCCATAAACACCAAATTAAAGATTTCTAACAAAAATCACTGGACCTCAAAACCATGCTACTAAATGCTTGGCAAGAATGAAAGAAAATAATAATAATAGTAACAATAACATTAATAATAATGATAATAATAATAATAATAATAATAATATTATTATTATTATTATTATTATTTATTATATCATGATAATGATAATGATAATAATAACAACAATAATAATATATAAAAACAATAACAACAATAATAATAAAAAATAAGTTCAATAATATAAAACAAAGGTGTTATCCTAATCTTTCACTCACACTTAAAACTTTGACGGGAACAGCCAGGATGCCCTCAGACTCTGTGACTCCCACACCAAGCTGTTTAAGCTGGTCCTCACCCGAGCCACCCACTAACACCCCCTGTCAGTATCACAGGCAGTCGATTGCCTCAGTCGAGTATATGACGTTTTGTCCCAGGTGTATCCTGTGTTACCTCCCACTTTAATACCAGCTTATAGGGGTTGATGGTCATCTTTACATATAGTCATATTTACATATTCTGTTTCCTCTCAAAGGGAATATTAAGCCACAAACACCCTTTGGATTCATCATGAACTCTGAGGTTCTTTTTTTGGGAACATGGATTCAAAGGATTAAAGTGAATCAAATGAATCTTGTCTCTTGTATATAATTTACCTTTCAACTTCTACTAATTTGCCTGTGGCGCTATTTCAATGTAATTTGAATTAATCTGTCATGAAGCTAAAGATAACATGGTTAAATTTAAATAATTATGAAGAAACGCATCAATCAAATAATAATAATAATAATAATAATAATAATAATAATAATAATAATAATAACAATAATAAATAATAATAACAATAATAATAAATAATAATAATAAGAATAACAATAATAAAAAAATCTTTTGAGACACCCACCTTAGATGGAGGCCGTATCCTGTTCTTGGGTGCCATCTCGGGGTTAGTGAAGTTATTTCTGATGTCCCTGTAGACCTTTGAAGGTGGGGGTTCCATTGGGCAGGTCCTATGGCCGCTGGGCATTTGCGAGGAGGACCTACTTTGGGTACCTGGAAGAAAACACGGCATGAATAAGATTTGCTTCAAAGGCTGGCAAAGACTTTTTCTCTCTCTCATTTCCTCTTTCTATCTCTTGTTTCCCTCTTTCTCTCTGTCTCTCGTTTCCCTCTTTCTCTCTGTCTCTCATTTTCTACTTTTTATCTCTTTTCCTCTTTCTCTGTCTCTGTCTGTCTGTCTGTTTGTCTCTCTTTCTCTCTCCCTCTCATTCTCCTTTCTCTCTCTCTCATTTCCCTCTTTCTATATCATTTCCTCTTTCTCTCTCTCCTTCATTCCTTCTTTCTTTATACAATACAATCATCAATAAAATAAAAATAATTTCACGGAGATAACTTCGCTTTCTTTGTCGACTTCCTTGCTACCAGTATGGCACAGTCACAAGTTTTCTGTTACATAATTTCAATCCAATAAAATACGTACGCAAGCAGGTACACACACACATACACATACACACACACACACACACATACTCAGACATACACACACACATACACATTGTATGTCAGCTACATACACACACACACACACACACAGGTTGTAATGTTGCTGGCAAATTTATTTGCTCATTACTAAAGAGCCTAATACACAGAGAAAAAGTTTTAATTTCCTCTGTACATCCTTCTTGTATATCCTGTGCTTTCTGCAAATTTGTAGAGATTAGTGCAGGGGTGTCAAACTCAAAACCCTTCATGGGCCACTTTTCATTTCAGCTACCATCTTGATGACAGATCAGGAATTAAAACTTACCTATAGGTTATTTTCTTTTTGCTTATTAGATTTTAAATGTTAACACTAATGGTAACAAAGTGTAAATGACATTATTTTCCATCATGGTGTCCACAATTTCACAAACTAATAAAACTTCCTGATGGCCAATTTTGCTCGTGGGCCACGAGTTTGACGTCCCTGTATTAGTGTGTGTCCACAAAAGGCAAAGGTAAACCTTTAGTGTTGATATTACAAAAAATACAAACATAAAAGTTTCTGTTGTTTTATCAAAATATGGTAACTGTTTACCGAGAGTGACACACCATCCAGAGCTAACCTTTCCAACCTTCCATTTATTCCCTACACAGGGGAGAAAGCCCCTTGTATCCCACATTTATTAGCACTTCCTGCCAACCAAGAGAAAACAGACATTAAGAACTGTGTGAGGGGGTTGTGGCCTTTAGTCTCTGAGTGGTGATATGCAGTAGACATTTTCATCACTTGCCAGTAAATATGAGGCCTGGCCACTTAAACTATGTTGTTTATTATTCTATTTCTTACGCTCTATAAGATGGTATTGTCCATTTCCCTCTATCTCCACGTGTCGATCTCTTTAACTTATACCATGACCTTGATTTGAATAAAAGAAGATTCTTGGAAACCTAATCTTTGGATATAATTTACATAATGACCATCTAAGGACAATACCTTAAAGAAAGGACAGAAAATACTCACCGACACATGTAATAAACTCCCCAAGCAAGAAATAATGTCAATAATGAAGAACAGGTGGGGCCTTGGGGTAGAGCTCCTGGCTATTTAAACTGGGTATATAGGAAAGGAATGCCAAGTAGGAAGAAATAAATTGTACAAAATGAAACCTTATTTACCCAAAACTGACCAGTTAATAATGGCGAAGTGAAAGAACTGATCTTCCATCTGGTGTTACGGTTTTCCTCGTGTTGGTTTCTTGCCTATAAATACGTGGCATAAAAGATCTTTAATCCAAGCATCTTCTCTGAAAAACTTTGCTCATCCTCCAGGGCTAAATTCTCACCCTCATTCCCCTCCACCCTCCCAAAACCACTTATTTCCTCTCATCCTCCAAGCCATCGTCAAGTCCCCAATCTCTCCGAGGCCCTCCACCTTCTCTCCTCCATTGCAGAGGCCAAAAAATAGAGCAAAAACAGCGACCAGCGAGTGACCAGCGTCGTCTGCCATCCTCAATGTTTACATCCTCGATCGCGGATTTAAACTTCGCGCTCAAATGGTAATAGGAAGCAAGACCTTGATAGGAAGTGTTTATATAGGGCACAGAGAACGTTGTACATTGTGTGAAGAGCGAGGAAAAAATAGAGTTTGGACTGTACAATGTATGTGATGATTTATTCTAGCGTGATAAGACCCCCTTTTAGATGAGACATATTCACTCCGTCTCCTGCATTCCATGTCTATTAAAAGTGGTTCAAAAGTGGTATTATCAACTTATTTATTTAATTATCTATTATAGTAGAGGTTATGCAGCAAACCTATTGGGTTCTGTATTACTATGACTTGTAAAACTTGCTGAAAGTATTTCGTCAGCTGATGTACTGGAATTCGTTTTATTTTAAAACTATTGCAAGTGGTCATTATGAAACTTTCTAAATGTTACAAGGAAAGGGTTAAACTAGCTGAGATTACAGGATCCTGTTTTCGCAACAGTTGCAAGTATCAGTACCAATGTGACCAACTTTAACTTGCGCAGAGGCGAATTTTCGCGATCCATTGTCCCAAGGTGATTTGAAATCATGACGTCACGATGATGTCAACTTATCGTCAGGTTGATCATTTCCGCACTATCTCCTAAACTTTTCTTATTGAAAAAATATCTCAAAATTAATCCGCATAAAAATATACTACTAATCTCAGTGCAAATCAAACCCTTAAGTCATATTATTGCCTTTGTCCTTACCTTAAGCTCAACCATGACGTCACGAACTCAAACCAGCTTGACAGCAAGAATCCGCGAGAATCCGCCCGACTTGCGCAAGTGTTTGTTTTCGGGCGAGCAGAGGCGAAGGAAGGGAATGGCCGAGACGACGACATAACGCCAATTTCTCAGGACTGGGGCTGCACTTCCGACCCGCGCACTCATGCTGGACGCCATACACAACATGGACGAGGACGTTAAAGTGCTAGAAGTGGTGTCGGACGCCGAAGAAATGGCTGTGACCTTGGAAAGCGAGCACGAAGAGGGCGAGATTAGCGAGGACGACGACGATGACGAAGTGGGACTCCCTGGCCAGCAGCACTTCCCTCACCATTATCCCTCAG